TGAAGTGTGTGTAAGTGATATTTACATACATACAAGACATGTTGGGGTGGCTCAATGCAGCAGGGTCCTCGTCAGTTCAGATTTGAACTGGGCGAGAGACCCCGCCTCCACTGCACCAGGCTTTGTATCTATATCTGTATAGCCGGTATAACCGCCCTTCGGCGTAACACCAGCTTCGCAGGCACGCGTCGCGGCGGCAGCTGGCTACGAAAGACTTGTTACACCTAACCCATGAACATCTAACTCTAAACATTGTTTGAAGCTATCTAATGATAATGCCCCTACTGTATGTAGTTGATGACAGCGAGTTCCACTCTGCGATAGTTCTAGGAAAGAATGAATTTTTGAACACCTCAATCCTTGGTTGATAACTCTGGTACTTGAAGGCATGGCTCAAGTTCGTTCCATTCCCTGATGGTGCGAGGGTAGAACGAGAGCCTGTAGAAGCTTTTTACAAGGTTCTTGCTGTACTCAATATTCTCCATCGTCAAGGGATCCCCGCCTTTGTACATGTTCACCATGCCTTCCAAAGATACATTCACGGACCCAATAACGATATGTGGCCGGGCCGATATTCCCTACAGCGTCAGGAGGACGGAGGTTTGCCCCGGAGGTGACTGCATGTGTCTTTTGTAATTCTGCTGCTCTCGGCAGTTTTTTGTTCCCTTGAACGTGACGTTGTTGGAATATCGATCTCAGCGAATTGACTGCACGAGCTCACTGAAACAGAGCGGTACACGGTCAGACAAATTCCTGAAAGCACTGCGTCAGCACTTCAACCTTTGTTTGATTTGTATGTCTTGGTGGACCAGATTAGCATCGCAAAGAAATACACCTCCAATGGGACAACCTCTCTTCCTTATGCATGGCTCAATATACTAAAGGTCTGACTGTCTTTAAAGGCATTCAGTGCAATTTCGGGGCGGATTATCGTGGAAGGTAGACGTAAGATACAGCAACATGTTTTCACGTTACAAAGTTCATAGATATGCACATGAATCTATCATTGGCGGTAGCACTTCAAGATGGCTTTGATATATGATTTGAAAATTCAACAAGGTTTTGTGCAAGTTTCATTAAATCTTGTCATCGGTGTTGGTAGTAGAAGTCATTATGAAAGCACGTCTAAACTTTTATTTTGAACACCACAAGAATTATAATTTTGCTGTTCTTTAGTCTGGTGGATGCTGCTTGTATCTGCAGTTGAGTGCAATCATAACGCATCAGGTGTGACCGTGCACTGTTAACAGTCGCGTGGCCCACTGACCGGATTACACACTCTACAAGCTTACCGGTGACCTACATGTCACAACCACACACAACCTCTTCACTCATCGGTAATACAACATTCGCGCCTCCAAATTAGAGAGTACAACGGTTCAACGCCGCTCTAAATACAGTCCTGAAGATCAGAACACACCAACGGTTACCAACTTATTTTCCCTGAAACTCCAAATTATTCGTGCACCTTACGTGTATTTCTGCACACTTCTACCTGCATGTGTATATGTATATGGCAATTTACATGTAGATGGCTGAGACGTCCCAAAGGGCCCAATCACGCCTGACTTTAAGGTACTATTGTCCTCTCAAGTAGGAAAGGCGGCTGCAATGGCGTAGATCATACTAGCCGAAACCTTGGAACTGCCGTTGATCACAGGTATTTATATCAAAGTTCCTACGGTCAAGCTAAGTGTTCTCTATGTTGTTGATTTAATTAGGCAAGCTCTTTGTAAAATCCCTTTTCTGAAGTAAATTTTGTGTAGACATGACGGCATAACCCCGACGTATTTTGCTATAGAAAGGACCTACTTTGGACAATGCATGTGTGTACGGTCACAGCAGCAAATCAGCTTAACAAATGATTACATTTGATTATTGTCCTTCCCAGAACGCGTAACATATTGAGTGGCAGGCTACACAACAGATGGCGAGTTCCTTCGAATGGAACCCTGTATTTGCCCTCCTCCTCGTGAGAATACCCCGATTGTGCCACTTCTAATCTCGTCTGTGCCGCCAGTCTCTGTCGCCTCCTGCCTGGGGCGGTTTCGTGTCACCTCACAAACCTTTCTGACTTCTAAAAGCCCGAACCGCGATGAAGCTCACATACACTGCATCCGTGATTGTGGGTATGGGGTGGTGCGAGGTACATGTAGCACCGGGACGTCCATACGTTCAGCTTAGGTCACATTTCCAAACCGGGACCCGGCCGGGCTGTTTGTATAAACGAAAAATTAACAATTCATGTCAAAAACATACAGAAACAGTGCCCATGATTATCAATAAAAACTTTTCTGTGTTTTGTTGTCTTTTATATCGCACTCTTCGTTCCCAAAGCTGCCCGGCCGGGCCCCGTGTGGGAATTGTGACCTCAGCATTACTACCGAGCCTAAAAAGTACATACATACAGGCCTGATGGAATCAGTCATACTCCGGGCCGAGTTTTCTTCATCTTGTTACCGGGGCACGACTCCACTTCACTCCGGCTTCACCCCAACTCTTTACGGTTCTCTGATACTGCGCGGTCTTACAATTTCGCGAGTCGACCCTTGACATGGATGAAAATATGGTACATGTAGATGCTTTCTTTGCAATCTTGACAAAGACGCGGCAGGATTTCTGACGCTCGTGTCATCCACTACTTTTTCAAAGCACGTTCTTATGTCTGTCATAGACTGAAACTTTTCATAAGCGTCCGTCAAACGATATACTTACAGTTACTTTCTCGTCTGCTTATAATTGAGATTGTTTATATGAATGAGTTCCGAAGATTGAACAAGCATGATATTTCATACCCACACACAATAATAATGTAGAAAAAACATTCCATTGTTATTATTCGGTTCGTTTGACAAACTACATTTCAGTAATTACATAGTGATTGTCAGCATTTGCTGATATGCTATTGTCCTGATCTGCTGAGTAAACTGGACATGTATGGAATAGGAGAATTGCTGAATATGTTTTTGTTTTGGATCGGGTCAGTCTTTTGATGTTTCTGGTCACTCGGCCTGTGATCTTTAGTCTCGTTGGTGGTTGCCATTCTCCGTATTCGGAACTCACCAAAGTCTTGGCGAATTTCAAGTCGTGTGTTTGACAGAGGCCAAGGCATTGAAGTGCAGTGGATTGCCCAGTGCACGCGTTCCCTGGTATTTCACAGCAAGCCCGCTTTTGGATACGTTGAAGTTTATCAGCTTGAGTTTTTGTAAGAGTGACAACTTCGACCCTGATCACGCCTTGGGATTAATAGCTGTTGGAGGCACGGCGCTAAAATTAGACCTCCTTTCCATTTGGAGCACTGAGCTGGCTCCTTCACTACTAGAATCGATCTCACCATTATGGATAGTAAACCTTCGCTAATTGCTGTCCTAGAGGATGGCGGGGAGGGCACCAGAGGAAGTCCGGTAGCGGCATTGTTTCCTCTTATAAATTCCGTTAGTCATTGCCATTTAAAACGGTCGTTGCCATATCACAGAATGGCAAACTTTAAGTATGTTAGAGCTCACTGATGTTTTGTGGCGTAGAGGATTAGGGTTTTAGGATTAGGCTTTTTGATCCGGGTTCGAAACGAGCTAGTTTTCCTTCTTTCTTTTTACTATTTTTCACGATGATGTTGTACATTTGCAATAAAATATTACATACGGTTTACATGCCTTTGCCCGTCACAAAGTTATGATAAGCTTGGATATGGCATCGATCATTCAGCAATATGACGAGGATTAGGGTTTCAGGATTTGGCTTTTTCACCTGGGTTTGAATCAGAGCGTGTTTTTTCCACTATTTTCACGATGATGTCGTACATTTGCGATAGAAATATTCTATACGGCTTACAGGTCGTTGCTCCTCAAAAAGTTATAATACGCTTGGATATTGGATAGGTCATCGACCATTCAGTGATATGACAGGCTACAGTTTCAAACGCCGGCGGCAGTTTACGAGTCGGAAGCACGTGTCGCAGTAGAGTAAGACTCAAACTATAATACCGCAGGCCTCGAAATTAACTGTTCTTCCTATTGTCCCAGCACTGTCCCAAACATAAAGTTCAATTGTCCCGAAGTGAGGATGAACTGTCCCAACCTGTTTTTTTTAAAGTATTTCAACTGGAAGTCAACTTGTTTTGCTGTGTAGACAGGAATTTTCAAAGGGACTTTTCCGGATCCAAACGCCAGAACGTGTGCCTGATAAACAGGAGAGGGGCTGACATTCTGAAGTTGATTGTCCCAAAAATGTCCCACAGTATCTTAGCTGTCCCAGCCTAAATTTTAGTGGTCAGTGGCCATTGGACTACCTTTAAATTCGAGCCCTGATCTGTACTTGTAGTCTTGTACACGTTATGAGAAAGATGGAGAAGCATAAGCTCTGTCTTTACTTGTTGTGCCTTTTACGTCTTTACTGGTAGGAAGTGGATCACGGAAATATGAGTATCCCTAGGAATGGAGCTTAGGGGGGTAGAACGTATAGCCCCGCCAGAGGGGTTTATGACAGATAAAAGACATCCTACATACATCGATTGGTCTTACCAAACTTTCAGGAGCTTCAAGGTTTATGTTTGCTTATCTGTGGATAATGCTGTAAGATGAACGTGCTTGGATGGGGTGGGGTCTAGCATAGGGCATTCACCCAAAGCAAAAATATACATGCCTTCAAGTACCAGAGTTATCAACCAAGGATTGAGGTGTTAAAGAATTCATTCTTTCCTAGAACTATCACAGAGTGGAACTCGCTGTCACCAAGTACAGTAGGGGCATTGTTATTAGATAGCTTTAAACAATGTCTAGAGTTAGATGTTCAAGGGTTA